GAACCCACATCTCGCACATCCATCAATGAAACAAGAACATCATCCTTGTATTGATCATCATCATCATCATCATCATCATCATCAGCATAAAACTTTTTCCTTTAACATCCTCACAGACAGACGGACATCATCATCTTAGACATACTCTGTGTCATTTAAGAATTCATTTCTTTTTTACTTTCTCTCTTCATCACCATGCTCAGACACAACCTCCTATTTACACCATTTTCACACCCCAATTCATTGTTTTTTTGTGAAATTTTGAGTAAAAAAATAGATTTTGGTGCTCCAGCACTCCCTCCCCCCTCTCATGCTCTGCCCTCCTTGGCTACCAATCCTACTCCTCATATCCACAAATAATAATTTCAGTTTGGTTTTCTTGAACACAAAAAAAGGTATTTTAATGACCCATATACGGACATCTACACCTGCTTCCATTTTTTTCCTTTTTCGTCCACTCCTAACAACAACTTCCATCCGCCACACACCCACATACGAGTTGTTCTTGTACAGCGATGTTAAGCATATTCAGTTTCAGATTTATTTCTTCTTTTCCTTCCTCTCCTTGAGCTTTCACAATCACTTCTTCTTCCTCTTCATCTCTCTACTTGCCTTCCCTCATTCCACACCCTTGCCTTCATCAATCAGCCAGTTTTTTCATCTCAAAAGACATATTTCATTCTTACAAAAACTTTGAATTAATCAGATCATTAAATCAGTTACGATTTCTAACAGCGGCTTCTCTTTCACACCCTTTTCCCCTTCACTAGATTCTACCACTTCCAAAGAAGTTTTCCTAAAAAAAAGATTTGTTAAAAAATAGTTGAAAATGGTGAATAAGAGGATGATGGGACATAACCCGGGATTGCTCTCCTCCATTCTTCATCTTCTTTAGTCTCTTCCTCTCCTTAATTTTTGAAAATAATATTAGAAAACTCTCATTTACGATTATCGATTGTGTTAACGAAGAGGAGATGAAGATGAAGAAACAATTGTTTTTATTTTAAAATCTCTCATTTTCCATAGTTTTGTTCTTCAAATCATCTCTTTTTGATATTTAAAAACCCTCTTGTGATGTAATCGTCGTTTAACCTTCTGCACCTGCCCTTCTATTTCTTCATCGATGAGTTATTTCTTCCTGCTTCGTTCCCTCTCTCTTCAACCTCCTCTACTCTCATCCTTCATCTCTTCTTACTCACTCTCTCTCTCTTTCTCTTTCTCTTTCTCTTTCTATCTCTCTTTTACTTTCTGAGCTTTTTCGCTCCTTTTTAAGAATGTTAATTCTCCCCTTTTTCCCATAAACCTTCAGACTCTTCACATTGAATGTTCGTGAATATCTGTTATTCATCCATCTCCCCTCTCAATCTACTCTTGTGCCATGTCCAGTCTGTCCGAGCTTCATCTCATAGTATCCTCTTATGCGTCACAGGCTAACCATCAACAATTCCATCTGTTGTATTCTATGATTAAATAGGCTTTCTCATTATACCTCCCAAGCTTCTTCATTTGTTTCTCTATCTCCATTCTCTCTCACTCTCCCCGTAGGGAAATGTTTCTCTCCTTCCTTTTTATTATGATGTTCTCTTGTCTTGACGACAGGAGAGATGAAGAATTTGTGAGAAACACATCGTTCCATCGACATATCACCCCTCAACCATGTGTTGTCTAATTGCTAATTGACCTTTCGAGGAAATTATTTGGAACCTTCACACTTTCCTTCGAAGGAGAAAAAAACTGATTCGTTTAGGACCCTTGCAATCAATCTTTAATAGCCCTTCTAGCAGTTCCCCCTCTGCTCCAGTGCGCAAAACTGTTTTCTTGGACGAAACAGAATAATATGAAAACGAATTATTATGATATATCTAGGCCTGTTTTCTCTCTCTATTGCTCTCCCTCTCTCTCTCTCTCTCTCTTTCTCTCGTTAGTCTCTTAGTATAAACTATTTATTTTTCATAAATTTTTAAACAAAAAAGCTTTCCTTTTACGTTTTTTATAGTAAGATTATGTACTTTCGTTTTGCTGGTCATCAGCAAGCTAGTTTGCAACGGATTTCCAACACAAATGCCCTACTAGTATTACCCGAAAATCTATAATCTCTCTCTGTCTATCTGTAACTCTCCCTCCCTTCATCTCTACCTCTCTGTGAATCATCCCTTACCTCTATTCTTCTTCTTCTTCATTATCCAATCATAAAAAATACATTTTTGTTATTGTATTTATTGCATCAAGAGATTTAATGATTTTGCCTCTTCGTTCTTGTCACATCAAATGTGCTTCTGCCAATTTCAATTCATTGACGTTACCAACCATTCTCTTGACAGCCCATCCCCCCCCATCCCAACATCGTTTTTAACCCCAAAATCATGTATTGAAAATCTATTTCGAAATCTCTAGATGGCAAAAGATCTTTTTCATGTAAACTCATTAATTATCTTAACAGATTGCTTAATTATAGTTTTTAGAAGAAAATTATGAACGAGCCTTGATGACCTTTCTCACCTGTCATTACCCTAATGCTTCTCCATTATACTATCCCCCCTCTTCCTCTTTCTCCCTCCCTCCCCCACTCTTTCTCTCTTCTAAACTGAATTAGCTTACTATTATTCTAAAATAGGAAATTATTTCTTTTTTCATCCTCTATTGATCGATTTACATCTTCTTATCTTCCGAGGTACGGGACGATGTGTCCTCTATCGGAAAAATCTCCTCCGTTCACATCATAAAAGAATTTGCATAAACGGCTGTCATCCGAAAAAGAAATCAGTTTTTATCAGACACATTACCTCATTTCTCTTTGATTCTCTCCATACGTCGACCCATTTATATGCTAATATTGAAGAATCATTAAACAACTTGTTTCATATTGTTTCATTCAAGCTTCCCATGCACAGCAGCTTCATCTTGTTCTCATTCAAATATTGAAATATCCATTTGTTTCTTGACTCATACAGATTCAGCTAAATCACGACATATAGGAAAACCATACTAGTGCCAGCATCACCAGCTGTGATCTTCTTCTGACCTTGTCTATTCCTGATCTGCACTCTCTTCATATTCCATACTATTGAGCTACAATTTGTTTCCTTTTTTTTGTGCGTCTTATTCAGTATTTCTTCTTCTTCTCTTCTCCATAATATTTAAGAATCTAACATCTCCTATAATCTATCTAACATATGCTTTTATTCTTGAATAACCATTTTATTACTGTCATTTGACACCAGCGACTTCTCTTCTCCTTCCTCATCCCTCTTCTTATCCTCACAGATTTTATTTGTATTAAACAAAATATAAAAAATAAATAAAAAATGTTTCTACTTGTTCATTACACTCATCGGATATGTTAGATACTGATTAGCATACATCAGCTACATCTATACATCTTCACGTGACATCTGCATGTCTTTACGTGGAATACGTGTCAGACGTCAGCTCTTCTTCCTCTTTCTTTATTTATAATTTGGTTGTTTAACATGAGCGGTTGTGTTCTCTCATATTTTTCGTTTTTTTTTGTTTTTGAATTTGAATTTTTGAAGTCTCTTTCAGATATTCTTATAAATAAAGACGAAACGATGTGAATTTCGTTGAAACAGTGACATCTTAGCCTCAACAATGTTTCAAAAAATCTTTTTATTTCTTTCATTCATAGTTGTCTTTCAATCATATACTCAGGCAGATCATAAGGTTTGAGAGTTCTTTGAGTTCTTCTTATAATCACCTCAATCATTCAGAGAGTTGAGAAATCAGCGGCAATTTGGGGCGAACCAGCACCTGATTATTCCAACGTCATGTAAGCTGTTTATTGGAAAGAAGTTTCAAAAATGATACTTCGTTTCAGGATTAATCGTAATGTGAGATACTACATGTACACTCTACTGTTTGTGGACGAAAAGATTGTAAGTTTCCAGTTATTTATTAAAACAGAGCATAACAAAGGGAGAGAGGGGAAAGGGGAAAGGGGAGGAAGAGAGATTGAAATTTGTTGTCAACACTGTGATTCTGATAGTGTACTCACAACCGTTAGTCTATTAGGCGGAGATCCATTAGGTGTTAATGCTCCTTGTATTGACCATCTTGATAGTAATCCATTTCCAAATGGTAGCCAAGGTAGAAGACAGAATGCAACCTGAAACAACAAAATGTAGTGTGAATGTGGAAACATATGAGATGAAGATGATTTGTAGCTGACCATATCTAGAAGTTGAGCATATTCTGGAAAATATAATTGTGGATACTTTTCTCGTATCATTGTGTAGTAAACAGATCGTATCACTCCAGCTAAAAATGGGACTAAGAAATAGCATGTAGAATACAATAGAACCTGTAAAAATTAACTTTATATTGATTTATCTATGTAATAGTTAACTATATATGTATAGTAATGTATATATAGATATATAGTTAACATAAATAGCCTTACCAGCCATGATAGAAACTTCGATGTTTTACTTTGAATCTCGCTGACAGACACATTGTATTTATTAGCTCGAAAATGCTTTCTCAATGAGTATTGGACTACAATACAAAAGATAATCATAGCCATTGTTGAAAACATTAGAGCAGACTGTAAATACTGCAAAAAACATAATTTTATATAATTCTGTTAATCATAGAATGTGTTTATAAACTTTTTTTCTTTCCATGGAAGGTCCTTGAGCAATCACGAAGGCGTTGATTATTATAGCTAAGAGGGTAAAAAATATGTATGCTATAGTTATAGCTCCCGGTCTTAACAAATAAGTTATAATTATCTCATTCTTTGCTTCTCTCTCTTCATTTTCATCTTCTTCATGCTGTTTTCTACTTCTCATTCTCCCATAGGTGTGTGTGTGTGTGTGCGTGCATGGATATGAGAGTAGAGAGGCAAGTTACTTACCGAACGAACAGGAGAAATCGATGAACGATACATAGGAAGAGCAGCAGAAGCTGCAGAACTTGAGTAACATCTTGTACATACAATAAGATTAACTTAATGTTAACAGAAAAGTTTTCAAAATGTTTTCCATAACGTTCTGAGCCATCCAAAGTTCGAATCTTAATTGATGAGATTAGTAATGCACCAATTATGATCTACATGTATGAGGAAGCATATTTCAAAAACATTAACCTCAAAGACGATAAAAACTGTGAAGAGATAGATCATATCATTATAACTTCTATAATAGGTTAAAGCCATAAAGCCATCTTTGAAGAGCTTCCTTTTAATGATGCCAATGGCTATGCTCAGATGTAAGATATATCCAAGAACACTAGCAGTTATAGTATTAAACGCTTCAAATATTTCAATAGTCGTGTTAAAACCTTCATAAGTGCTGTTATCAGGGATAGGTAAGGAGAAGTTGGATGTGATACCACTGGGGAACATCTGCAATCACATAAAAGTGTACGAGAGTCTGGATCAAACGGAAAACAAGCTCAATATGAGGAGAAGAGTTCTTTCGCGAACTTTCCTTTGATGAAATATCATTAAAGAACAAAAAAAAATGCAAAGCAGCCGAGGAAAAGTCCAAAAACCTTTGACAACAATAGGAGGGAGGAGATAAACGATATAGACAGAGTGAATAAGGGAATGCCACAGAGAGTGAGCGATGGAAAAAGAGAGATGGAGAGAGAGCAAAAAAGAGAATCAAAAGTTAAAACGAACAAGAGAGTTGCAAGTTTGTCTCAAATACAAAGATTGTCAAACGATTTATAGTGAGATCGACGAGTGAATAAGTCGTCATGGAAACTGAAAAAAAGGAAAAACGAAAGATAGAGGCAGAGAGGCAATGAAGAAAGAAGTATGAGAAAACCGACATTCTTATGAATGAAAGAGAGAGAGAGAGGCATACAGACAGAGAGAGAGAGAGAGAGAGAGAGAGAGAGAGAGAGAGAGAGAGAGAGAGAGAGATCTATACAGAGTATTGGAATTGATTTGATTTGATAAAAAAATTCACGTAAGGTTTGTCTAACAGCTGAATTTTTTTTTTAATTTTCAGTCTTTCAATTATGAATAACAATATTTCAGACATCACATTTTGATTTTGATATGCTGCGGGTGAAGAGTGAAGTTCTGAAGGTAGTCGCTGAAGCTAACACAGTTAAGAGAAAATGAATAAGCTTTCACTGAAGAGATTCATTTATAGTATTTTAATCAGTTACAAATTAGTATTGTCGTGGTGGATGTTCTACAAACAATGAGAAGTAATCTTAGTCTCTACATGTTCCAAGAATATCGAAAACAAAGGTATTTCAATTAACAGGCATGGAGAGATAGAGAGAGATAGAGAGAGAGAGAGAGAGATTGAAGAAATATTGAAAAATTCATTTTTTTCTGTTATTTTTAGAATACAATTCTTGCCTCCTCATGACTTCGCAGTTTTAATGGCTTTCAAATACCCGGGTGGATTAGCATTCGTTGGAGGAATGTGTTCAGACTTATCAGTTATGCTATGTGGGGTATGTGAATGACTAAGCAATCGCTCTCATGACCTTAACAACGTTATAGTTCTATCCACATGAACCACGAGTTATGGGATCCATATTCTTTCATGAAGTTGCTCATCTAGTTGGTGTGCCTCATCGGCCTTCCAATTCGACCATTTATGTACCAAACTGTCGTTGTCCCGAAAAGTCAACTGATCAGCCAAGAAAACAATCAACATCATTGTTGCTCCTTGATGATGGTCAACAACTCTCATCTCATATCAAACAAAAATCAACCGATTATGATGATGATGTTCCAGGCTGTCTGCGTATTCCGTAAGTTTCATATAGATATTTACTTTTTTGAACGAAATATTATTTACAATACAATTGACTTGAATGAGATTTTGTTTGATTTTTTTCTGGTTTTCTAACACCTCCTCCATTCGGCGTCCATTCAACCACCCCCCAATTACGTGTCTTTTCAATTTCATTTTTTCTTCCTTCTGAAGCTTTCAACATATTATTAAAAATCATAACTTTCATCTTATTATGATTAATTAACATTCATCAATCGAATTACTTCCTCATGGCGATTAGAACACCTTGATTGGATGTGAAATCTACATCAAACCATTATACTCATGTAATATGTACTTGGCCATTGGAGAAATCTTTTTTTCAATTTTATTTGCTCGTGTTTGCTCTTTCACCTTTTTCTTAGACTACACCCTCCCTCTCTCTTTCTCTCTCTCATTGAGAAAGCATTTTAGAGTCCTTTTTTTGGAATGAAGTTTTATTCCCTCCCTTTACAGAGGTTTTGATCACGATTGTACGACCCAGCTGTTTGTTGACGTTATATTCAAAAATCGCTGTTTAAGGACATCACCCATGCTCAACTTCAGGTAAATTCTATTGAAGCCATTAATATACAACTAAATAGCTTTCAGTGTATTCAAAAATAATAAACTAATTCATACTATATTTAGAACTAAAACTTCCATTTGTGGCAATGGTATTCGTGAAGCAAATGAACAATGTGATTGTGGATTGGAGAAGTACTGCACTGATTGGAATTGCATTGCATCTGAATGCGTTTATCGTGTTCATCCATTCTGGCTGGTAAGTTGAAATCGTTAAATTAACATAAATCACGTGAATCTCTATGTGTGATGATGATTTCCACGTGATACGAGCAATGACCTCGTTCTGTTGTTTTTCATTTCACACTTCGCGCAGAGCGGTTGCTTTCACATCTTCCTCAACACCTCAACACCGAATTTTTTGTATCATCAACCTTGTTCCAACATTCTTTGAGTATATTCTTTAAAAAAATTGAATGGAATTATCAAGTTAAACTATGATCTGTAAGTCAGAAAGTGCCAGCTGTCAGTTCTTTCGAATAAGCTTTTCCCAGATCTTATCCGTTACACACATTAAGCTCAATTTTCTTTCCTCCTCTTTCACCTTTACCATTCCTTCCGAGTTTTTTGTTTCCAATTCATTAATGGAAACATTCCTTCATTTTGTAATTGCATATGAGAGTTAGTAAGCGAAAAAGCTAATTATGTCTGATCTCTATCTATTTCGCTTCGTACATTCAATGAAAATGAAAAAAAAAGTAATTTATCAACCAATCTCGCAACTTCAATCGAAGTCTGTTACAGCAGTTAAAGCTGTATCATCACCAGCTGACCAAAACGTCCCATTGTCTCCCTGTAAACATTCTTATTCTCCAACTTGTCACTCTTATTTAGAATCATTCATTCCTTTTTATTTTTTTCAGTGGTTGTTCACTTTATCATTTCTGTTCTTCTCCATTGCACTTCTGTTCTTCGTGCTCCGCTATAGGGGATATCATCTAGGAGACATTAAGGACAAGATGCTTGCTTGTTTCAAACATCCAAAAGCAAAAAGCTGTGGCTTCAAGGTACTGTTTTCCGTTTGAGCTATTCATGCATTCTTTGGTTACAGGATTTTAATTCCAAACAAATCTTTTCTGGATCATTAGCGAACGTTCAGAAGGTTCCACCATCACCTGTGAGCTTCAAAATAATCTTTCAAATATCAAACTATATACTTCAGATGGACGCCAATTCTATAATTGTATTGCTGGACCGTCCACCAAGAGCAGCAACACTACATCGCCCAAGAGTTCCTCCACCACCTCCTCCACCACCAGGCTTATCATTGAGTGAGCCTTCAAACACAATCTCTCCGTAAGCTTCATCAATTATCTTTTTTCTAACTATATAATTTTCAAGACCAAAAACAACTTTGTGTGTGGATTCCGGCAATGCCTATGAGATTCCAAGAAGTCAGCGTTCCTCAGCTTCTCCACAAGACAATATATCGTGGAAATTTGAAGACTTTGATTCAGGTAACCAAAGAATAGATTTGATGAAGGAAAGGAAGTAGAGGCATCTTGAGAATAACAAATTGAAATGCAACTATTTCCGTCAAAACTTGATGCTAAGAATGAAGAAAATACAGAATTCAATAATCACGCTTCCCCCTCAGTCTCCCACGTCACCGCGTTTTCAATAATATGCTAATTTCTATATATAGTCATATATTTCTTAGCTCATCAGTCTAGACAGATCAGAGATATGAGTTGCGAAAGAAGCTATTAGATGTTATTTATAGATGATGAGTATGGAAGTGGAATGGCATATTCATCATACAGAGCCGAATCAGGGATTCCAACATGTCCTTCATATCCTCCATTCTCACCCATTAACAGAGTTACAGTAAGAAAATAACATATTAAGAAAAAAATTATAAACTATATATTAAAGGTTCAATATCATGGCTCACGTGATACAATGGAAACCGAATGTCGTTCGAGCAATGCATCATCATCATCAGCCATAAATGGGACTTCTATTTAATAGAAATTTGTTTTTCCTTTCTCTTTCTCTCTTTCTTTCTTATTTCATAATTATAAGAATTACCTCTACCATCACTTCAAATTCATTCCAATTTGAACTAAAACAGCTCATCAAATGTAAATTGGATCTTTCAAACAGAGATTTCATTATGTGATCAAAGATAGTTTTCTAAAGATAATTGTTCATCATCATCATCATCGTCGTCGTCTATCACAACGCCTTCAATACGTGTTCTGTTCTTTGGAATATCATCCATCGTTTTTATAATTTTATTCAAATGAGTTTTTGTATTGTTTTACGAGTTCTATTTGATTTATATATAAAATATATTTCCTTCAGGTGTTCTTGTAACTCTTCTTCTACTACGCATCTAACCAATAACACCTGTCATACATCCTCTGGTCAATTATGCATATAGTTAGATGAGAATGGCGCGAAATTCAAAATGGGGTCATCTAGAAAGAGGCATCATTGCTTCCTTTTAGGTATATGTCTTCATCAGTTTCATCTCCCATACCAAATACTACTCCCTCAAGACATGCTTCTTCTTCACACACCACATCATTCCCCGACCTTTCATCATTGTCTACCTCGTCAACTAATCAATCTATTGTTATTGATTTCAAAAAGAAAATTGACTTATTGAAGCTACAGGTACAGCTTTCACTGATAGCCATAACAAGTCTTTAAACCTTTCAAGCTCCAACAACGAGAAAAAGAAATTGAAAAGCAAAAATGGGAGAACGATGAGCATGCTATCGCGCGTTCAAAGACTGTCGCCGAGCTACAGTTCATGCAGGTTCTTGTCATCATAATCGTTATTCACAAAACTTTCTCAATTTGAGATGAAGTCTAATGCTTTGAAAGCTGTTTGTGAGGATCTGACAAAATGGATTGAATCTAATGAGGTCATAGAGAAGGAAAGATTAGAGGAAATTGACATCTTCTACAAGTACTTTCGGTCATCTCATTCCAACCTGTTCTCTCCCTTTCAGGAACAATATCAAAACTTTGACACTTAACTGTAATAAACTAAAACATGAGAAGACATGTTTGCATGAAAAGCTGAACAAAGCAACTCTTAAGGTTTGTCTTCATTCAACTGCTTAATGAACTCCTTTTCTGTTTTCAGATAACAACTCTCTTGAATGATTTGGATTATCAGAAGACTGATAGAAAGTCGTTGTTGAAACAACTTCAAGAACTACAAGTAATTCACTTCAAAATAATGAAATTGATCTTTGTTTCAGGCACAACACGAAGAACTTCAGAAGTCGGAAGCTGATTTGAAAATAAAGTTCGCACGGTTATCCTCAGACTATCAAGCAATTCAGAAATCAAAGTCAACCAAGTATTTCACATGAAAATTTTTTGCACGAAAATTTTTTTTAAGAAACAGCCAAGAGAGGGAAACTCTGCTTCAGAATCAAACAAACCAATTAGAGAAAGCTCGGAGAATTCATGAAGATCGAGAGAGAGAGTATGGGATAACGTTATCGCGTCTACAGAATGAAATAGATTATCTGAAGTAAGTTTTGACCACGTAGGCAGACAACGTAATGGCTTGTAGATCAGAAATCCAAAGGAAAGACATGTCCTGCAAACGAATGACGGAAATATCTGATAATATCACTTTGGAAAATAAAATTTTGTTTGAATCAAATGCCGTGAGTTTGGAATTTCGAAAATTGTTTGAAAGTCAGTCATGTTTCAAGGATCAGAAAATCCGATATGACCGAGAGATGAACGAACTCCGATCAGCTTTGAGCTCACTGAAGAAGAAATGTCAAAAAGATGAGACAGAAAGGAAAAGTTTGTTGGAAAAGATAAAAATTTTAAATGGTAATTAGCAATTAGCATTGTTTATAAATATTATTTTCGTAATAGAAAATAGTTCGCAGCATGATGAAAAGTTTTCGAAGCAAGTATCGTGTGAACGTCAGGCAACTGCTGATTTGATCAATGCTCAACAACAAATAATAACTCTGAAGAAGCAGGTTAGACTTCAATAAAATAAAAATAAAACAATTTTGTGAATACAAATCATTTCGTTTGCAGATTTCAGAATTGAAGCGAATCAAAGAACTCTCATCAACTGATGTTCGAGCGAATTTGACAGAGAAATCTCTTCGAATCATTCAAGCTGAGAAACAGTTGACTGAGGTACAGGCAGAGCTACAAGAAGAACGAGCACACTTAGAGAATACAACTACACTTCTGGAAGAGATGGGAGACGATATGCAGAAGCTATTACATATCATGAAGATGTACGGATGAAGCACATGAACCATCACTCTCCTTACTTACAATCTTAACGAAAACCTTTAAAACAACAAAACAAATAATAAAAATTTTTAAATTTTCTTACGTTTTCTTATGTGAAATGAGTTGAAGTTCATAGAGTTTTTAAAGAAAAAGCATGTTTTCATCGAAAGAGTGGGTGGAGTTTTCTGTTTTTCAATCACTTGCCTGATGGGCAAAGTGTAAAGAATACACGAGGCAATGTCGGATGAAGAAGTAAGTTGGATTTTTTGTGAGTTATTCCAATATATATATAACTAACATAATCTATTCTATTATATTTATATTTATTATTCTTAACCATTCTCTCTTTGTTATCTCCTGTGTGATTCTCTCTGAGAAGATGCCTCAACTCCATCATTTCCTCATTACATGATGAAGCATCTTCTGAACATGAAACCTTGTCCTCATGTACGTTCTATCGAATGAAAACTTTATTTATGCAGTTTTCATGAATATTTTCGTGAAGGAATGTTTAGTTTAAGATAAAACTTTATGAGACATCAGCTTGTCACAGCTGTTTCTTAAACTTTCCATCATCTCACTCATCTAGTGCAGATGTTTTGTTGTCAATTTATTTTTTAAAACTAATAAAAATATGAAAATCAATACAAATATCTTTATTGATTGTTAAGGAAAGTGTGGAAGACGTCTCATTTGAAGACGAAGAAGAAGAGCTGTCAGATGTATCCTTTGAAGACGATGATGAAGACGACGTTTGCCTCAACAAGCTTTCAATTTGATAAAATCACAAATTTTCAGTTCACTCCTCAAGTTAGATCATTCCCTAAGGTTAAACTTCCTTCTAATGAACCACAAACTCCATTGACGGAAGCAGTGTTCCAGTTACCATCAACGGTTCACATTTCTTTTTAACGTTTGTATAACGATATGTTGAAGAAAGCGAAGGAACCTCTGAAATTTTTCGCAGAAGCTGAATCACCTGTAACGAATGCTGTTTTTAGTCTTCCAACCGCTATTTCGAACAAAGTGAGCTTAGAACATAAACACGATTCCACATCTTTGCGCAGATCACATTACCTTATTCCAATGATTATGATGACGAATACTCAGATGAAGAATACAGTGATGAAGAATACGAGGATGAAGAATACGACTCGGAACCAATTGGAGACGTTTGTTTTGGAAATTAAGTATATACTAAAACCAGCTCAAATTCAGCTCATTCCACCCAAACAAAATGCTACCACTATTGAAAAGCCAGAATCCAAACAGGATGTTAAAGCAGTGGCTAAGAAAGATGATGAAGATGAGGAGCTCCCGGCAGAGCTGGTGGGCGAACCGGATAAGAAGAATGTACAGATGAGTTTGAAAGACCCTAAACAAACTGCTAAGCCTGATCCTAAAGCTGCTACCAAGCCCGATCCCAAAAATGCTGCTAAGCCGGATCCTAAGACTGCAGCTAAAGTTGATCCCAAAGTGGCAGCTAAGCCAGATCCCAAGACCGCTGCCAAGACCGCTGCCAAGCCCGATCCCAAAGTTGCTACTAAGCCAGACCCTAAAGCATCCGCTAAGCCTGATCCCAAAGTGGCAACTAAGCCAGATCCTAAGACCGCTGCCAAGCCTGATCCTAAGATTGCTGCCAAGCCCGATCCCAAAGTTGCTGCTAAACCAGACCCTAAAGCATCCGCTAAG